ACTGATTGTTTGTAAAGCCAGTTTCTATTTCACATTTCTGCTGATAGTTGATTATAGGAACAGAGTTAATTTACCCAGCTCAGTTTTTCTTAGCTGTTGCTAAAGTCATCAACTTCATCTACTATATAGCTTTATGACTGTGCTTTTATGTGAGGTAATGGAACTATTTACATTTGTGTTGAAACCCTGATTACAAGCAATCAATATGCAATAAGCTTTAACCATATTTCAACAGGATTCTATTCTCCATCAACACTTCCCTCAGATTTTATTATGCCATGCATATCTATATGACAGACTTCCAACCAACTTCTTCTCTTGTTTCCATACCTACTTCCTCTGTCCACATATATTCCAGTTATCTTCGCTTTTAAAAAAAAGCCCAATCACAAACATTTTCTGTACGAGTCTTTGTTAGGAGTTAACCAACCCTGTGATCCTTATAATGGTAAACATAAGGCATGTCTAAGGAAAGGTAGGATCCAGAGTACAAAATGGCATCAGACCCAAGAGCAATGGAACTACAAATAAACCAAGCAATAGAAAGAAAAACAAAAGACTAATGCAGAGATAAGTACAGCCCAGAACTCAATAAGGAAAGCTGTACTGAAAAGAGGTTCAGAGGTACCCACAGAATGAGTTAGAGGAAGCGACTGAGAGCGATGCAAGGCACTTTCAAAACAAAGGCCTAGGTCTAGCAGAACAGACGGAGAAGGCAGCAACCAGCTACTCTTGCCTGGAAAAATCCTGTGGATGGAGGAGTCTGGTAGGCTGCAGTCCATGGGGTCTCGAAGAGACTGAGCGACTTCACTTTCACTTTTCACTTTCATGCATTGGAGAGGGAAATGGCAACCCACTCCAGTGTTCTTGCCTGGAGAATCCCAGGGACGGGGGAGCCTGGTGGGCTGCCGTCTATGGAGCTGCACAGAGCTGGACACGAAGAGACTTAGTGACTTACCGGCAGCAGTGGAAGCAGAACAGAGATCACTGAGGAACTTTTTAGAAATGCAAATGCTCAGCCCCCCAACCAAGCATAGTGAAGCAGAAATGCTACTGTGGGGTCCAACAATTTGCTTTAACCTGCTGGCCAGGAGATCCTGCTGTGTGCTGAAGGTTGACGCCCCAGGCTACAGGTTTTGTTGTTGCTCAGTCACTAAGTCTGTCAGACTCTTTACAGCCTCATGGGCTGCATCATGCCAGCCTCCTCTGTCCAATGTTCACTGAGTTGGTGATGCTGTCTAACCACCTCATCCTCTGCCATACTTTTCCCCTCCTGCCCTCAATCTTTTCCAGCATTAGAGCCTTTTCCAATGAGTGTGCCGCAGTATTGGAGCTTCAGTTTCAGCATCAGTCCTTCCAATGAATACTCAGGGTTGATTTCCTTTAGGATTGACTGGTTTGATCTCATTGCAGTCCAAGGGACTCTCAAGAGTCTTCCTCAGAATCTCAGTTTGAAGGCATCAGTTCTTTGCTGCTCACTCTTTTGAGCAACAGCACACATCTGTACAAAAGCTACTGGAAAAAATCATAGCTTTGGCTATACAGACCAGCTAGAGGTGCTGGTTGTCAAACTAAAGACTAGAAAGCAAGCCATCCATGCAAAGAGAGATGATCTGAATATTGTTTCAGTCAAGACAAAGAGGTGAAATTCAGTAGTTTGTGTCTATGGTGAACAGTGACTGTGGCTGAATTTGGATCTCTGCAACAGGGAGCTGAACAGCTTCCTTCATAAAGGGGTTGAAGTGCCTCTATCACAAATTAGGGCATAGTCTAATGCATTTACATCATATTGCCTAGAAAGCCACAAAAATAGTAAGTCCCACTTAGGGATTTTCAGATTTGTCATCTGTTTTCCACCAATATTAGAAGAAGGTTAAACTTTGGAGTATGATTTATTATATTTTACCTCTAGTCACTGAAAAAGTTGGTTTAAAACTCAACATCAGAAAATTAAGATTATGGCATCCGGTCTCATCACTTCATGGCAAGTAGATGGGGAATCAATGGAAACAGTGACAGACTTTATTTTGGGGGGCTCCAAAATCACTGCGGATGGTGACTGCAGCCATGAAAAGACTTAAAAGACACTTGCTCCTTGGAAGAAAAGTTATGATCAACCTAGACAGCATATTAAAAAGCAGAGACATTACTTTGCCATCAAAGGTCTGTCTAGTCAAAGCTATGGTTTTTCCAGTGGTCATATATGGATATAGGAAGTGGACTATAAAGAAAGTTGAGTGCCGAAGAATTGATGCATTTGAACTGTGGCATTGGAGAAGACTCTTGAGAGTCCCTTGGACTGCAAGGAGATCCAATTAGATGATCCTTAAGGAAATCAGTCCTGAATATCCATTGGAAGGACTAATGCTGAAGCTGAAACGCCAATACTTTGGCCACCTGATGGGAAGAGCTGACTCACTGGAAAAGACCCTGATGATGGAAAAGATTAAAGGCAGGAGGAGAAGGGGACAACAAAGGATGAGATGGTTGAAGGGCATCACTGACTCAATGGACATGAGTTTGAGTAAGCTCCTGGAGTTGGTGGACAGGGAAGCCTAGTGTGCTGCAGTCCACAGGGTTGCAGAGTCAGACATGACTGAGCAACTGAACTGATCTCTAGTCATTGATGCATAAGTCGGTAAATGAAATAATAAAGTATCTTGGAAATTTTTATTTCAATTGTTCATCTACAATGATTTGTCTTTGTACTGTTGTATGGGCAATTTTTAAAAAAATATTTCAGGAAAATGTGATATGCATAAATCCCAATCCATAGACCACTTAAGAGGATAATTATTCACATTTTGGAAAGGTTTATTTCCTTCACAAAAGAATTCCCTCGAGTTCTTTCAAATGGCCAGCATGAAGACAGTTCAAATGTTACTGCAGCAGCTTTGGACAGTGAAGTCTGCTTCCAAACTCAGGAGGTAGGCTGCTTTCCAACCATGTTCATGAAGGCCTGACCTCAGGACTCAGTACTTCCTAGTCTTTATGACAGTAATGGAACAGGTGTTCCAATTGGGGGCATCTGGGTATAACATATTAGAGAAATACACAACAAAGGATGAAACTAGTCATGGCTCTGTATCTACAATGACGTGAATTTATCCAAAACATTTAAGCTCTTCATCTTTTTGAGTCATCCGCTGTAAAGCAATGGTATTGTATATTTAGGTGACTGCTCAGTATTGTTTCCAAGCTAATAGTCAATAATTTAGGAGTATGAAGTGGAAAATACATGTAAATAGTCTCTATAATTATAAAACACAATATAGATGTTATTATCTTTATAATTTGATATAAAATATTTTAGAAATCCAATTTGCACATAAAATTTCAAGAAGATATTCATTAAAATGCACATTTACATGATGATCAAGACAGGGCAATTCTAAATGTATTGTATCCTGGATTGGATGCATACCAAAAAAAGGACATTAGTGAAAAACTGGTGAAATCCAAATAAAGTATGTAGCTAGTTCACAGTATTTGTACCAATATTAATTTCTCGGTCTTAACAAATGGACCACAGTTATGTAAGATGTTATCATTAGAAGAAACTGAGTGAAGCATATTCAGAAATTGTTTTACCTTTGCAAATTTTCTGTAAATCTAAAAATATCCCAAATAAAGATTTTAAAACAAAATTATTGTTCTATGCCCTGAGGATGTAACTATTCAAACATACATACATACATAATACATATAAACACATGTGCAACACAGGCACAACAGAAGCAAAGGAAATTATAGAAATGAAGCCACCATACTTTTCAGCACTACACTAAAGAAAGAAAGGAGGAGTGTTCTAGTGTTAGAAAAGTTTTCCTGAAATCTGAGAAGAAAGAAACATGAGCCTGAACTAAGAAAAGTAAACATCTGCTTTGCCATTCATCAGGCATAAAGACAGATAAAGCCAGCTGTAAAGTTAACAGAAAATACTATTTCTCCCAAGAACATGCTGTAAAGCATCACCAAAAGAATCCACTTCCAGTAACTGCTACTTTTTTTACACACAAAGAACTCTTTTCTCTAAAATCATAGATTGTAAAAAAAAAAAAAAAATTGCTCTTTGAAATTTTTCATTAAAATGGAAATATCCCATTGTTGGCTAGATGACCTAAGTTATGTGAAACAGCCTCTACTTCCAGAACTTCAGAAAAGAAGTTTGTGGACATATTCCCCGTCTACTTTTACTCTGTAGCATCCAAAAAAAAATATTAGCTGAGAGGTTCTTAGACGTATATTTTGGTACTTAATTTGGCAAGTCACTTACATCGATTGTAAATTTGTCCCTCACTCACAAACTGTAGGCAACCTGGATGACATACGTCATTCATCGTTCAAGAAAATCACATGATTCTACCAAATTTGTGATAGTGCTTGACATGTAATAGATGTCCAAATTAGATGTTACACGTATAACGTCTTAAAATGGAATTCCTGACTGGAAGTCCGGACCTACTTATTACTAGCCTTTCGGATTTTTTTATTTTTAATAAAATGAAGCGTTTCTTCTTGCCATAAAACTCTTAAGGATTTTGCTATGCAATCCCATTACTTCGCTGGCCACTGGAATCCTGTGTTTGGCTTGCGAAGAGTTTTGGTTCAGCTTAAGTCCGCCAGAACCAAGTCGCTACAGTGCCACTTCAGGCTTCCCTGATGGGTCAGACGGTAAAGACTCTGACAGACACAGACACAGACACACACTCCCCGTTTCCCACCCCCCACAACACACACACATACATGCACACACACGCACGCAAACACACCCGCCGCCCCCAACCCGGCGCGCTTCAACTACCTGCGGTAAAGCCCTCCCCCGGACCACACCCAAACCGGAAGCCAGGACGCCCCTGGGGTTGACGGGAAGGCGCCGCCTGGCGGCTCGCTTCTAAGGCCTGCCCCCTCGTGTGACGTTATTGCCCGCCCCTTGACCTCGCGGTCCCGCCCTCTTCCCTGTCTCCCAGTAGCCAGCTGCGGCGGCGTCTCTGGAGGCGATGGAGGGATCCCAATCGGTGGCTGCGCGTCCGGGGGAAGAGGCATCTTGCTCCTCCTGGAGGACCAGCCGGTGAGAGAACAAGTGTGGGCGCGAAGTGGGGCGTGGCGGGCAGGACCAGGGGTCCGACTTTCTGCCTCTCCTACTCGGGCGGGCAGGGAGCGCGCGAGAGGCCGCGGGGCAGGGCAGAGCCGGCCTTGGGCGGCGAGGGGAGCGCGCGGGGTAGGTGTGGCGGCGTGGGCTTCGGCCTCAGCGACTCCGTGCTTTGTTGAGGCGGAAGTCCTCCACTTGTCGCCCGTTTCATCGCTTTCTCAGTTCTGGTTGGGGTCTGCCATCCTTCCTTCCAGTCACCGGACGTAGGAGGGAGGGAGGGGCTCTCGGTGCGAGCTTCCCTGCCCCGGTGCCGGACACCTTCCCTCCTTTCGATAAAGTGAAAGCTGAGCTCCATGGTGTACGATCCTCCGCTGAGATTCTCCTTTGAAAACTGTTACCAGAGGGAACTCGGTAATAATGAATCACTGGTAGTCAGAACACCCTGAGGCCTGTTGATTGCCCTTTAAAACGAGAGAGAAAAAAGAAAGAAAAAGAAACGCAGGGGAAAAAACCACGAGTTACCCATTCTTATTTCGCAGTTGGTGTTGAGGATCACGTCTTTTCCATTCCTCCAGAAATAGAGGGGAGACGTTCGTGTAGCTCCTGTTTGTCATTTCATAATTAATAAAGCGGATAGTTACATTCTGCCCACCACCAGAATACAATGTGCCGAAGATAGAAGTGGTGGATATTTGATTTTGAGCTAATATGAATGTTCACAAGTCTATAGCTTTTTCACCAGCCTTATACTGAAAGGGTGCTTTGATACCATGGTATTGCCTGCCGTTGCCACCACTGCCAGACTTAGGTGGGGGATATTATGTAATACAAATAAAACCTACTCTTATTTAAAGCATTTTCGTTTGCCATTTAAGACCTTATCAGAAGAATGATATTTGAAAGATTCCAGTAAGGCAGAACTGAAAAGTGGGTGTCAGTCATAATCATTACGTGACAGAACTAGTTAGAATGTAGCTCTTCTCATTTTTACTTAAGAGCTTTACCATCTTAGATTGTTGCTCTCCATGCAAGGAAGACAGCTATAGAAAGTGTACTAACAGTAAGAAAGTTGTAACAAGACTTTTTCTTGAGTTTTGTATTTTGTTAGAGTGCCAGGGTATATTGTGTATATGTTTTTATTAGTTAGCTGGAAGGTGATATCACTTGATTATCTACTCAATGATAAAAGAAATAATAACATTTTTGATCATATGTTTTCAAATTCTTTGCCTATATATCAATATACCAGGCCTAGAAAATTGGATTCTGAAACTGAATTTTGTGTTATCACGTTTTTAGAATCCTGTAACTGATATATAGAGCTTCCCAAAACCTAGAATGAATACACTTTTGCCAAGATGGTATTGATTTTAGCTCAGGCTCAAATTGTCCTGGCGGTTCCCTCTGCCCATGAACCATCTATGTTTCCCAATTATCATGTTTCTTTCTATGCCACACTGTGAAAAAATTGAAATGAGCTGCAGTAATTGATATATCACTCTATCTTGTCACACCAGTATGTTTCAGTTCAGGTCAGTTGCTCAGTCCTGTCTGACTCTTTGCGACCGTATGGACTGCAGCATGCCAGGCTTTCCTGTCCATCATCAACTCCTGGAGCTTGCTCAAACTCATGTCCATCCAGTCGGTGACGCCATCCAACCATCTCATCCTTTGGTCCCTTTCTCCTCCTGCCTTCAATCTTTCCCAGTGTCAGGGTCTTTTCTAATGAGTTGGCTCTTCACATCAGGTGGCCAAAGTATTGGAGCTTTAGCTTCAGCATCAGTCCTTCCAATGAATATTCAGGGTTGATTTCCTTTTGGATTGACTGGTTTGATCTCTTTGCAGTCCAAGAGACTCCCAAGAGACTTTTCCAACATCACAGTTTTTTAATTTTTAAAATTCCTTTAACAGATATTTTTTTTTAGTGCTTTCTTCATGCCTACTGTGAGAGGTGTGTGTGTGTGTGTGTGTGTGTTCAATCTCCAGCTGAACCCATGGACTATAGCCTGCCAGTCCGTGGGATTGTCCAGGCAAGAATACTGGAGCAGGTTGCCATTTCCTACTCCCAAGAGATCTTCCAGACCCAGGGGTGGAACCTGTGTCTCCTTCATTGGCAGGTGGATTCTTTACCACTGAGCCACCTTGGAAACTGTGAGAGGTAGTAGACAATATAGTGTGGTTGTAAGGAACTAGACTGATTAGTTTCAGGGCTTTCCATTTACCTGCTCCGTGATCTTGGGCAGGTTATTTAATTATGTCAGTCTCAGGTTTTTTCCTTTGTTCAATGGGTATAGTAATAGTGTCTATCTCATTAAGGTGTTGAAAGGGTTAACTGAGTTAGTAAACACTTAAAACATTGTGACACAATGTTTGTTCTTGTTATTAAATGCCAGGTACTATTTTAGGGATTTGAAAAATAGTAGTATATTCCTAATGGAGCATACATTCTATAGGGGAAGGCAGATGATAAATAGTTAAGGATATGTGATTTGAAAAAAATACAGCAGGGAGCCACCTGAGCAGAAGGAGACCATTTAGTTGGTTGTGTTACCAAACTTGGGTCCATCCACTCACAATGTGCAGCAAAGCCAATCTACTGACACCAGGTTGTAGTGAAGAAAAGTACAGTTTATTGCAGGGTTTAGGAAAGAAAACCGGCAGCTCATGCTCCAAAGACAAAAATTCCCCCACTGGCTTTCAGGGAAGGGTTTTTAAAGACAGTCTGAGGGAGAGGGTCATAGGGTATGTGATCCATGCTCAGTTCTCTGATTGCTTGATGGTGAGATAACAGGGTAATGTTTTGGAACCTCTGTCATCAATCTTCTGGTTCCAACTGATCTGAGGTCTACCTGTTGCTGGTCAGTTAACTTCTTTGGCTTGGTGGGGATGTTAGCATCTGCAAGACAACTAAAGTCCTTGACTTTGTTTTATGGCTAAACTATTATTAGTTTGTCTTGCTTGACTGCTGGAGTGGGTAGCTGTTCCCTTCTCCAGAGTATCTTCCCAACCAGGGATCGAACCCAGGTCTCCCTCATTTCAGGTGGATCGAACCCAGGTCTCCCTCATTGCAGGCAGATTTTTTACCCTCTGAGCCACCAGAGAAACCCAAGAATACTGGAGTGGGTAGCCTATCCCTTCCCCAGGGGGTGTTCCTGACCCAGGAATCAAGCTGGGGTCTTCTGTATTGCAGGTAGATTCTTTATCAGCTGAGCTACCAGGGAAGCCCTAGATATCATCATTATATGGTAAATTCTGGGTATGTATATTATAGAAGGTTTATGGGCCACTCAGTATTGCTAAAATATAAATCTATCAGAATATATATTATAGCAATGATATTTATAGCAATTACAGCAATGATAAAGTAACACCTGAGAATAAAACAACTGAGGGCTCTAATTTACACACAGAGCAAGCAGTGAGTGAATTTAATTTTGACCGATTTTTAAAATCTAAATAAAGTGGTAACTAATAAAACATATGTCTGGTTTGTAAAGTCTGTTTTAGTAACTGGTGAATCTGATATCATGTATAGTTGAATTTTACATTATAAAATATGAATATTGAACACCTATACTTGACCTTATGTTTTCTTTTTTCAGTGCAAATACAAAGTTATCCATCATGCCAACAGAATCTGTGGAGATTGATGATGCATTATACAGGTAAGAACCTTATGGAAGCAAATGTTTTTCCCATTTGTTGTTCTCCAGTAATGGAGTATAGTCTATTCGAAGACACCATTAGGCCTTTGCAGAATTTTGTAAAATGTATTTTAAGAGTTCTGCTCAAATAAAAATCAGGATTTCTTTCTTTCTTTTACTGTAGGCTGAAAGCTTGAATAATATTTAAATCTTGGTTGCTTTAGGTTTAGTTGATGTGACTAAGAATGATTTTGCTATCCACTACCAAATATAACTCTTGTTTCTGGACAGGAATACATATTTAATTTCCTGATACTGCAGGAGTGAGTCTCATGAGAGATAATTCATTTCACTTTAGTTAGTGATACAGTATCATCTAGAGAATATGTTTACTTCAGTGTAAGCTCATTAACAGCATTGCATGTTTGCACTGCATAGACAGTGGAGAAGTGATTGAAGAACTGTGGTTTGAATGGAATTTAGTGGGACTTTTTTTTACCATATTTTTTCATGAAATCAGGATACCTTTTTCAAAATTAAAGAGAACTTAAAAACACATAGGGCTTCCCTGGTGGCTCAGACAGTAAAGCGTCTGCCTGCAATATGGGAGACCTGGGTTCGATACCTGAGCTGGGAAAATCCCCTGGAGTAGGAAATGGCAATCCAGTCCAGTACTCTTGCCTGGAAAATTCCATGTATGGAGGAGCCTGGTAGGCTACAGTCCATGGGTTCGCAAAGAGTTGGACACGACACAGCTGAGCAACTTCACTTCACATAAATTGCTTCACATAGATTTAAAAACACATAAATTGCTGTCATTTCTAGTAAATTTCTTAAATACTTTGAGATGTTTGCATGGAAGATAGTATAATCTCCATTTAAAAGTTTTTAGATTTTTCTCTATATGTAATCATGAAAAAATAGATTTTATGTAGGTAGAATTTGGAACAATGGGCTTTTTATGTATTTTGGATTTCTTTTTATATTTTCTTATGTGGGATGCATAGTCAATTTTGAGCAGCTTGGGAGGAGCTGATATGTTGATTTCAAGTCCTGTTTAGTCCTGTACCCTTGGAAGAAGAGATAAAGACTAATTTGATTTTACTTATGTGAAAACTGTTTTACCATATGATCTCCTAGCTATAATTATATTGGGTTGGCCAAAATTTTTTTTTTTTTTTGTAAGGTGGCTCTAGTTGTGCTTAGTTGTCTTTAAGTTCATACAAAACAGTTTTATTAGGTGGTATTATGACAACTGTCATGATAGTGTGTGTTTTGAAAAAACTTGTCAAAATTGTTAAATTTTTGTATAGCCATTTCAATATTGAACCTGGAAGAAAGCATTTTTGGTGTATTATGCTTTATTAGTTCAAGAAAGGTAAAAATGCAACTGAAATGCAAAAAAAAAATAGATTTGGTACAGTGTATGCAGAAGGTGCTGTGACTGATTGAACATGTCAGAAGTGATTTGGGAAGCTTCATGTTGGAGATTTCTTGTTGGATGATGTTCCACAGTCTGGTAGACTGGATGAAGTTGCTGGCAATCAAATCAAGACATTAATTGAGAACAGTCAACGTTATATCACACAGGAGATAGGTGACATACTCAAAATATCCAAATCAAGTGTTAAAAATCATTTGTACCAGCTTGGTTATGTTAATTGCATTGATGTTTGGGTTCCATATAAGTTAAGTGGGAAAAAAAACCTTCTTGATTACATTTCTTTTTTTTTTTATTTATTTATTTATTTATTTATTTATTTATTTATTTATTTTTAATCACAACCATAGTGTGTCTTTTTCTTTTTTTTTTTTTTTTTTACATGTATTCCCCATCCCGGTCCCCCCTCCCACCTCCCTCTCCACCCAATCCCTCTGGGTCTTCCCAGTGCACCAGGCCCGAGCACTTGTCTCATGCACCCAACCTGGGCTGGTGAACTGTTTCACCCTAGATAATATATGTGTTTCAATGCTGTTCTCTTGAAACATCCCACCCTCGCCTTCTCCCAGAGTCCACAAGTCTGTTCTATACATAGGAGTCTCTTTTTCTGTTTTGCACATAGGGTTATCGTTACCATCTTTCTAAATTCCATATATATGTGTTAGTATACTGTAATGGTCTTTATCTTTCTGGCTTACTTCGCTCTGTATAATGGGCTCCAGTTTCATCCATCTCATTAGAACTGATTCAAATGAATTCTTTTTAATGGCTGAGTAATATTCCATGGTGTATATGTACCACAGCTTCCTCATCCATTCATCTGCTGATGGGCATCTAGGTTGCTTCCATGTCCTTTGATTACATTTCTGCATGCAAATCTGTAATGAAAACTTTCTGTTTTTAAAACAAATTGTGATGAGTGATGAAAAGTAGATACCGTACAGTAGTGTGGAATGAAAGAGATTTTGAGGCAAGTGAAATGAACTACCACCAACCACACCAAAGGCCAGTCTTCATCCAGAGAAGGTGATGGTGTGTATGTGAGAGTGTTGGAAAGTGAAAGTGCTAGTCATTCAGTTGTGTCTGATTCTGTGACCCCATGGACTGCAGCCCACCAGGCTCCTCTGTCCATGGGATTTCCCAGGCAAGAATACTGGAGTGGGTAGCCATGCCCTTCTCCAGGGGATCCTCCCAACGCAGGGATCGAACCTGGGTCTCCTGCATTGTGGGCAGATTCACCAGGGAAGCCCTGGGGTTGGAAGGGAGTCCTCTATTATAAGGTCCTTCTGGAAAATGAAACAGCTCCAACAAGTACTGTTTGTTCAGTTCCCTGGAGACTAAAAGGCACCTGGCACAGTTTTTTGCTCAAAAAGATAAAAAGTTTGGAACATAGAATTATGAAGTTGCCTGAAAAATGGCAGAAGGTAGTGGAACAAAACAGTGAATACATTGTTCAATAAAGTTCCTTCAGTCTTTTAAGTGAAAATGAAAAGTATATCTTTTATAGAAGCGGGAGGTGGGAGGGGGGTTCAGGATGGGGAACACATGTAAATCCATAGCTGATTCATGTCAATGTATGGCAAAAACCACTACAATATTATAAAGTAATTAGACTCCAACTAATAAAAATAATTGGAGAAAAAATAAAAAATAAAAATTAACTGAAAGCAAAAATGTAAGAATAAATTAAAAAAAAATAAAAGCCCATTTGCAATCACAGGAAAAAAAAAATAGAAGGAACCTTTTGCCCAACCCAATATATATATTTAAATAGAAAATATTTTTAGGGCAGTTTCAATACCTACTTTAACAAAGTGTCTTGCTAAATATATTTCACTTTTTTCTTATTACTCAATCTTAAATCAACTCATAGTTTCTCATGACTAAACCTGCAATTATTCTCAGAATCTAAAGGTTTTTGGGGGGCTGGAGGAGCACTTCTGACAGCATTCTGAGCCACATCTCTATTTAGTTTTCTATCTTTATTACCAGCACATTGTCAGATAAGTTAGACAGACGAGCCAGTTCTATAGATTTGCCCATTTCTTTTTCTCTAAAGATATGCCTGAGCCTGCTGATCCAGTGATTTATCTAAAGATAATGAATCCCAGTTTAGTACTCAAACCTTGGTTTTCTAACTTTGCTTTTACTAAAGGATCCTCCACTGGAGGTATGTATCTATGTGTTATTCACTCAGTAATTTCCGACTCTGTGACACCATGGACTGTAGCCTGCCAGGCTCCTCTGTCTGTGTTCTCCAGGCAAGAATACTGGATTAGGTTGCCATTCCCTTTTTCAGGGTATCTTCCTGACCCAGGGCCAGGTCTTCCATATCGCAGGCAGATTCTTTACCATCTGAGACACCAGAGAACACCATTGGAAGAAATTAAAACTAATTCAGATAATGATAAAATTACTTTGCTGCACTTTGCTGTCTCTCTCACTCTCTCTCTTTTTTTTAATGTTTCTTGCATATAGGTTCCATGTAGAGATCACTATACGAAGAAGGGGTGAATATGAGAGCAGCATCAGGGCATTCTTAGGTTCTGGATTAGTACAATCATAGTAGTATCAATACTGTGCATATTTTAGTGGAATACTAGAGCAGGTTCCTCTGGCTTTCGAGATAACAGTCTTCTTGGATTTACTTGTATTCTTCAGATTTCTCAGACTTCTCTTAGTCTGCTCTTGCTTTTATGTAAAGCCAGGTTCCAACTTTAGGATTTTTCTCTCAGTTCATTCTTTGGTTCATGTCCATTTCCACGATTTTAGCTATTTCTCTAAGCTAGTGATGCTTGAGTCTCTTTCTTCAGCTTTCTTTTTACAAGTTCAGTACCTTCTTTTTAAAATGCATACAAGATTCTTTAAATGTAAACCAGGCAGATGTTCAGCAGATAGCTCCTTTTTAAAAAAGAAAAAAAAAAGGACATATATTTGATTTACATTGTTGTGTTAGAATATCTGCTTTTTGAGAAACACTGTAGAGAGATGTGAGCAAGGTCTTTGACTTTAGAAGAGAATGTTCACATCCAATCCTGACATTTATATGAACCAAAACTAGTTATTTAATCTTTCTATTTCTCATACTTCTCATGTGTAAATGAGAAGAATGATACCTCTTAAAAATAATATCTTAGCCTTAAAGATTTCATGAAAAAACTATTATTAGAAAATAATTTTCAGCGTGAAATATCTCTTAACACTACTGGAACGCTTTTCCTTTTCTCTTCCCATTCCCAAGCTTAGATAAACGGTGTGTCAGACCTATTCAGTAACCTAAGCTAGAAACATTGGTGTCATCCTAGATCTTTCCTTATTTATCATCTTTCAAGTTCAGTTCTTTAAATCCTTTCAGTTCCTTTTAAGCAACTCTTAATTCCATTTTTTTTATTTTCTCTCCCTGCTTTGGAATTTCTCAATTGAACTATTATAATTTTCTCATATGCGATCTCTTTAGAACTATTCTTGTTTCTAATCCATCTTTCATAAGTTGTTCAAAGTTGTATTTTTGGCACTTATCTCACAGTCCGTGGCTTCTCAGCTTAAAATCCTTAAATGATTCCCTGTAATCTACACTGAT